GTACCGATTAAGATTTAAATTTCATTACAATTTATATTTGAACTGATGGACATTCTCTGTGTGAGATAAGCCGGGGGCACAGGGGCTGTTCCCTGAATGCCACTTAATTGGCACAGGTTGTTAAAACCTGACCTCTATGTCGTCGGATGGCATAAACTTGATAAGAGGCCAAAATTGAGTGGGGAGTCAAGAGGTGTCTGTTTTTTGAAGTGACGGGAAACAGGTTTAACATATAACAAAATAAAAGTTTATTAACTATAACTAACCCTATAATATAGAGATTGCTATGCGGTTAAATGCAATTATTCTATTGACTATTTTCACAAGGATAGCGACTAATTTCTAAGCTCTGTCGCATGCCTAATTTCTATTTCAAGAGAGAGTTGACAAAGTTCTAGCCCTAACATACATAATACCTCTCAGTCATAATGGAGAGTTGTAGGCAACGATCGTTGCTTCCTGGAAGAGTCAGAGCCGCTGAAATGTCTTCCAACCTGTGTCTTCTGCTTGGGCTGGATCAAGTCCACTGAATGGAGGTCAGGGTGTCTCCCTGTTGGGCACTATCACCAATTATAACTCCCAGTTTGATTGCCCTGACCTCCATTCAATGGACTTGATCAAGCCCATCTGGTCCTCATAAGAGGGCATGGGTTAAAATCCCACCCCTGACACCAGTGTGTGATAAGCAGGGGGCCACTGGGTCAATCCTTAATGACCACTTACACTGCACAGGTTGTTGAAACCCGACCTCTATGTCATCGGATGGTATTAGGAGGGCAAAATCAAGAGGGGAGGTTGTTGGTATGGCGATAGGTATTCTTTTGGGTGAATAAGACAGGTGGACAAATTTAGCAATTAACAAAAGAAAGTTTATGATACCACTAAACCTACAATACATATAACTAAACTTAAGATTAGATGCAGTTAAATGAGGTTACCAATACACTCCTATGGAGTGGATTGACAAAAGTTTCTAATCAGCTTGCATTATGACCTAATGACCTAGTTCTGTCGCTACTTCCACTGAGAGAGAGTTTACAAGAATCTATAGATATCCCAATATTCATTGGTCAAATTAGATGATGTTTGTTTGATCGGAGAGAGAGAGGAATTTGAAGAGGATTGGTGATCGTATGCAGGTCTTTTTTTCGTTGACTGGCATGGGCCGGGACAGTCCGTTCGTGGAGGTCCACTGAACTTGGCACCTAATCGTTGATTACTTCGGGGCACTAATTAATTTATATTCACCATCCTTCAGACTTTGTACGAAACAACCACCCAGAACTTCGGTGTCTCCATCTTTTATGCTTGGTGCCTGGGAAAATGATCATGTGATCGACTATTGACATGTCAAAGGTTCATTCCCAGGTGCAAGCATAGGTTTCTTCTGATGACATTTAATAGCAGCTGTCCCTCTTTCACAATCAAATGTTCTCCTTTTGCCATCTTATTGTCAAAATTTCTCTCCGTTTGTTTAGAGAGAATGTCATCTGATCTGTTCTAAAGCAATGTTTTTCGTTTTTTTTAATGATTAAACAAAGCATTTATTAAGATCTAAGGTTAACATACAGGAGGTTAGATGTGATTAAATATTAAATATATGCAAAACAGCAACTCTTAGCTAAGCCTATTCCTGTTGTGGGGGGAGTTCACAAATTGCCTTAAAAAATACCTCTATGAGGAAATGAACAGTATGCGACGATAATTTCGTAGGAATCATAGTCCTCGTCGATATGACAAACTGTAGGGAAGTCCATAGCCGTGATCTGTCTTGTCCTCTCATTGGATCGGGTCCATTGTAGGGAGGTCTGGGAGACAAATTGCGCACAGTTACCAAGTATAACTTCCAGTTCGATCGCCCTTAACTTCCGGGGACTCACACTTTTATTCACTTGTCATGGGAAAGAGGTCACGTGATCGCCCATGTTGACAATGACAGTGCATTTTCTGAACCTATGTGTCAATTTTCCCATCTGATTGCTGACAATCGGGGTGACATCCAATCCAAAACTGTTTGATAGTTTTTCTATCAGCAGATGTTTACATAGAATTTTTTTTTTAGTAAAATGGGTTAAAACAACCCCAAAAACTTGTGAATCTCACATCTGTATTGTAGTAATAAAAACCTTGTGCTAAATAGAAATGGTAGCTCAGGTTATGCTTCCCAATTTTGGCATTAACAAATTAACTGATACAATTTCTTTATTCATGCAACAAAATCCAGCCCTGCTCTCATATGGTATGAACTTTCTATCATTACTCTCTTATAGACAGTTAAACATAGTGCACCTTTATATTTATATATATACATATACATGCACACATACTATACATAAGATGGTTTGAAGGTTTGATTTGTGTTAATCTTCTCAGATGCATGAAGAGAATTATTCAGAATATTAAAAAAAATCACCATTAATCTTTTTCTTATTAAAACAGATCAAATCTATTATAAAAAAGTTAGGCACACAATTGTCTATCAGCATTAAAGGAAAAGATTTATTTTGAAGTACTTAAGTATATAACTGTTGAAGTACTGTTAAGTATATCAACAGTATATAACTGTTCTCTCTATGAATGATATTCTCTGATGAGGATATTTATATATTGGTGAAAGTACTTAAAAAATAAAGTTTTTTTCCATAATGCCAATAGATAGATATGTAGCTAAGATTTTATAATAGTATTTGGCATCTAATTTTATTTATATTTTATTAACAAATCTACTGCGAGAAGTAATGGAACTAATTACTTTTCTTATCCAGATAGCTAATTCTAATTTTATAAAATTCTTTTCAACAATTACAAAAACTTGAACAAGATATTTCTTTTTAATTTTCTCTCCTATGTTCCTGCATAATTATATTCTGGAAACAAGGGTAGTATTCTTTATAAAGAATGAAGGACAAGAGCAAGAGCAAAGGAAGATAAAATAAGAAAAGTATTTCTATAATTATGAAAAAGACTCTAAAGTTAAAAATCACTATTTAGATTTTTAAAAAAAATCACTAATTTTCAGCATGCATTAGGCACAATTTGCAAACCCAGTTCTTTCTAATGAAAATGTAACTCACTTCTATACAACTTATTAATAGTAATCACAGTTTGTAGATAGTGAATGTCCATAAATTAGGAAAATTTAAGATTTCATAAAGATATCAATGCTATGGTTGGAGAGAATTCTGTTCACAGATCACTATTCCATCATAAAATGATAAAAAAGAATCATAAACAAACATAAAATGATTCTGCAATAGGGAAAGAGATTACAATACTACAAGGTCAGTTTTAAAACAGTCTCATCGCCCACCAGTGCCAAGTGGTGTTTGTTCCCTAACACTGGGAGTTCTGTTGTGAGTTTGCGCCTTGTTTGGACAGGCTGGCCACGTGGAGTTTTTCGGGGTTTCCCCACATCTGTAATGCCTAAATAGGGGCCAGTTTCCCTTAAAAAGATCTCCCAGAAGGCATCCCCCTAGGCAGATTGCCCAAGTGTTGTGTTGCCATAACTTAACAAACAAACATTAAAAACAGTCTTATCCCCCCTTCTTAACAAGTCCATTTGTACAAATGAAATCAATGTCATACGAAGCAACATTTCCAATACAAGTATATACATAAAAATTTATACAGGTATACCTCGCCTTACGTCGTTAATTGGTTCCAGGAAAACGACGTAAGTCGAAAAACGACGTAAGTCGAATTTACTTGTCTCCGAATCTACTTGTCACTAGGCTAAANTTAATTTAGTATCAAAAACGTAAAATATTTGAGTAGCCGAAGACATAGCCAAAGATTACAGTGCCACAGCACTGGCGAAAATTTAAATTTGTCGACTGGAATTCCTTCGGATAACCGACCTTCGGATAAACAACGCTCTACTGTAATACTAAAATTTTAACTAATTTTGCAATCAATTTTCATTTATACAGTGGGTGATCAGTTAACGAACAAATCGGATAACGAAAACCTTCGCTAAAAATTTTTATGTTCGGACAACGAACACATGATCGGACAACGAACACATGATCGGATAACGAACACCTCACAGAACAAACACAATAAGAAGCGACATAAAATAATCAATACTGATTGGTTTTCCCTTGTCTTCAGACAACAATTCAAAACTTTTTGGAGTGTGGGAGACGTCAACATCGACACTCAACTCGGTATATACTGATCAGATAGTATTCCTCCAAACTTTGAAACTCTTCCTTGTAATTCCAGCCTTTAATTTTTCTGACAGAAACAATTTTTTTATAGTATTCATGAGACTGTCAGGCAGGCACTCATTAAGTTTTGCATTGGTTTTTATTTTCAAAAGGTGAGAGTACAATAGCAAAAGTAGAGAGTGGGCAGATGTCTGATGTTGCCGGGCAGTATGGCTTGAACAGGTCTGCAGTAGGCTGCTGTTCACTCTTATCTAAGAAAGATACTGTATTATCAAGACTCAAGCAGCTTAAAGAGTAACAAAAATCACATCTGAGAAATAAAGAACATTGAAGAGCTCATAATGGAACCTGAAACAAATCTGACAACAGAAAAACACTAAGAACTCTTGAATGAAAAACACCAAGAAACTCTGCAAGATATATTTTCTTCTAAAAGAGAATCCAAACCAGGTTGAAGTTAATAGGCTTAGGGATCTCCACAATTACAATGCTATTAATTACTTCTGTAAAATCTTGAAGAAGAGAGAAAAGCAATTGACATTAGACAGATTCTTTAACCCCCACAAATGGAAAAAACATGACTAATAAAAATGCAAGACTGTGTATATATGTATTTTTATTATTACATATATATAAACATAGTAAGAAAGTATATGTTTTTTATTTTTGGGGTCTCCGGAATGAATTAATCAAATTCCCATAAAAATCTACAGTAAATCGATAATCAGTTAACGAACAATTCGGATAGCAAACAAAGTCTTGGAACAGATTGTTAACCGATCACCCACTGTATTTTCTTACAAAAATTTTAAATTAAAAATCAATACGTACAAAAGGTTTCTCATATAAAAAATATGCAGAAAGAAGACCAATTCCATAATCATTACTTTCAGGAGTTAAATATAGATTAAGCAGAAAATCATATGTATCTTGGCACCATTTTCTTAAAAAAATTAAAAATAAAGTTATATTCAAGAAATCATATTGAAATAATTAATATAGCATTTAAAATTATACCTTAGTGTATCCTTTGGTAGATCTCCTAGCAAATATGGACACCAAAAACCAGCACTACCATCTCCAGTAGTGTTTGGACTAAAGTCTTCTGAAATCAATGTTACTTGTACTCCAGGTACAAGTTCCAATATCTGAATGGCTGTTGATACACCAATGATACCTGCACCCACAACTGCAGCCTTAATTCTAGTACTTATTTTTGCAGCAAGAGTATCTTTCAATAATTGAGTACCCATTATTCTAAAATAAAAACATTATAATACATATAAATATTAAATTCTTTGTATACATTAAAGATAAGATAGATGAAATAATGATAGCAAAGAAAAAATAAAAAAACTTTATAATTTTTTACAGAAGAAAAAGAGGACTTGTTGTACAATATAGACAGAATACAGTATATTCTTGTCTATGCAAAAAGTCTTACAGAGTCCATGTTTTTGGCTAGGAGCCAAAAGTAACAGATTTAATATTTCATCTGCAATAAGATAAAAATATACTTATAAACTGTTCCCTCTTTGTTACAAAACATCATTCTCTATTCAAGTTATTTTGTTAAAAAAACATTCTATCAGCATATCTTCAAACAGAATGAGTCTCTATTCAAACTATTTAAAACTTACAATTTATTCCTAAAAATTATTCTTTTCTTTTTTTACACAGGATCACACAATCAACATCCAATCCTAACAACATGATAAAAAATTTGATTAAATGTAAATTTTAAAAAATATTTATTGATTATTTTAGTCATATCACAAAACCCACACTGATTCCATACTTCTAGCCAGAAACAAACCCAATGATAGTTATCTGGTATTCATATCTATTTGTTGTGTGTGTAAAAACATATTGACTGAGGAAATGTGTAATCAAATCATCTCTCAAATCTTGACAACTTGCTTTCTGCACATTATTTAAGCAACATTTGGCAGTTAATCAAATGGTAAAGATAATAAAAATATAAGCCTGCTTCACCAGGACTAGGGTTTTAGTCTTTATCTGAATCTTGACTATGAGCAGTAATCTCCCACTATCCAACCACCCCATCATTGGCTTCCTCAAATCAACAATGGGCATAAAAGAGAGAGCATCTTTATGCCTTCCAGAGAGTTAAAAAAAATGGCTGATATATAAATATATACTATATTATGTTTTAAATTAAATACTGTATATCATTAAATAACGTAGACATATATAAATCTTTAACATCATTAAATTAAAAAGATTTATTGTTATTTTTACATATAACAAATTTAAAATTAGTTTCTAATTATTCTTTGCATTTCTGTAACAAATAAATTACATTATATAGTCTAATCATTATTAATTTAATCAAAAGAATATCTGATCTTTGCTCTTTTGGCTTTTGAACAAAGATTAATCAATTCTGATAAACAGATTTCACTAAAATTATCAATTTATCTAAAGCTGTTTCTCTATATAAAATTTTATTTTAATCAAATAATTACTGAAATCAGTATCTAATCATCTTAAAAATATAAATTATTTATCAAGATATTAAATTTTATTTTAATTGTTATAAAGCAGTGTTTTTCAACCTTCTTGAATACGCGACCCCTTTACGAGTTAAAAAATTTTGGCGACCCCAGGGCCATATTAAAACTATATCAGTGATTTTAAAACTACGTATTTAATTTTCTTTCTGTTGAGACCTAAATATCGATTGAAAAACCAATTGTACTGTAAAATAAACAGGCCCAGCCTTCTCAATGAAATTGTAGGTTTTTTTTATTGTAGTGTGGGACCTACAAACACTTGTCTTTTTTTTTTTACCCGCGACCCCCGTGTAAGGCTTTGTGACCCCTCTGGGGGTCGCAACCCACAGGTTGAAAAACACTTATAAAGCAGAGGTGAGCAAGCAAGAGTTCAGTGGGAGCCGAAATGTAGGTTTTGCAAAAATGCATGGGAGCCGCAGTTCTGTACTTTTTTATTCCATACTGCGGTTCTGTACCATGATTTTATTATATAATATAAATATAATATAAAACAAACATTGAATTTTTTTAATAAACATATTTTCACAAAATTGTAAAAATAAAAATAAAAAGCAGAAATTAACACTTTCAGCAAGAGCCACATGTAACTCAAAAAGAGTTGCATTTGTCCATGTCTGTTACATGCTAAGCATGACTATTTAAAGCTTACTCTTGCTTTAGGATAATTAATAATTGTATGTGTTTGTGAAGAATACTGTTTATGTTTTCAATATATCTACATGTGGTAACGTAACATAGAAAGCAATTATATTTATATATATGTTACCGCTAAAGCTCGAAATCCATTAATGTGTACATTACCTAGCTAATCTGCAGATTAACTAGGGTGATCCGTTAAAGCTGCGAAAATTGTTCAATTTCTCAAATTACCTAGGTAATTTGCAGAGTATCTAGATAATCTGCACATTAACGGCTTCCGTATCGTTAAAGTTCAAAAGTTTGTTTCTTTCACTTCCTTTCCCCACTCCTTCTTTTTACGTAGATAAATTTAAATCCTAGAATGCAAGCAAGCACCGAATTGGTGAGTAAAATCAAGAAAAGATTCTTCGCAAACCTCTTTAGCGAAGATTTAAAATATAATACGTAGTGTTTT